TATAAAAAAGGCCAATTGGTCCTTGTATAAAGAGAAGTGGGAAGTAAATGAAAACAAATATGCCATCGTGCTGGAACACAACGGGGATTATGATGTTTTTGTACGGATGATGAATACAGTGGGGAAAGAAAGCATACCCCTGAATCAGTCGTTTCCTCCCTCTTGCAGAAAACTAGACAAAACGTGGTGGAATGATGATCGTGAAAGAATTGTCGAAAAACTGGCTTTCAAAGCCTATAAGAAACTCCCCACAAGACCCAATTTCGAAATTTTGAAAGAATTGTCAGTTGAAGCCCACAGAGGGCAAAACATGAATCATGGAAATCCTTTTGCTCCACGATTTCTAGGTCCACGCCAATTAAAGTAATTTGGAACAAACTAAGGGTGATAAAAAATGTTTACACTCCTCAGCCGATGCCCCTAATGTATGGTCAATGGATAGAGGATGTTATATTGGCTCTTTGTCCCCAAGGTCCATCGAACGAAGTAAAAGAGATCTCGGGTGAAGAGCGAGCTTGTTGTGAAATGCTACTTCTCTTCTCTATGGCAGAACTAAATGTTTCTCTTAAAAATTCAAATAATACATGCCCAGGGATGGATGAAATACATTATAAGATGTACCTCCCTCAGTTCGCAAAAATAGCACTGTTAGAGATATACAACAAAATATGGCGGTCGTCAGAGGTCCCCGAATCGTGGAAAGAAACCCTAATAATTTTAATTAAAAGTAGGAAAACCAGATTATTCCCCTAATTCATATCGGCCAATAGCGTTGATGTCTTGCGTTGGAAAAAACATTTGAACGAATGGTTAAGTTAAGGCTGAAATGGTGGGCGGAGTGAAATAACGTACTTCCTCAAACGCAATTCGGTTTTCGAAAAAATAGATCGGTTGTGGATGCTCAACTGATGCTCGTAACGGACATACAGATAGCTCTATCTCATAACAAAACGGTCCTTGCGCTGTTTTTAGACGTATGTGGAGCATACGACAACGTAAATTTCACACGCTATACCTCAAACTAAAAAAGTTAGGCCTCCTCACTGCGTTCATTGTAAATATCATGAGCTTAATAACCAACAGAAAAATTTACTTTAAAATAAACAAAGATGATAAACTTATAGTACCAAGAACCTCCTTTAAAGGACTTCCTCAGGGAGGAATACTTAGTCCTATGTTGTATGCCCTGTATGTGTCAGACGTTACTACAACAATTCCCGAAGGAATTAAGGTAGTACAATACGCTGACGATATGTGTATCTATGTGGGATGTGATTCCACAACCTAATGTATGAACAAACTTGTTAATTTTATTCCTACTTTTAAGGACTGGTTGAGCAAGAATGGATTGGATATATCTGAAACAAAATCATTTTTATGTCCCTTCAATAGAAGAAGAAAAGTAGAGTTACTAAGTAGGGTAAAAATAGGTTCATATACATTCCCAGTGAAAGTCCAGGTAAAATTTTTAGGTTTAACTCTAAACCGCAAAATGTCTTGGAGTACACATATTAGGAATACTCTAACAAAATGTGAAAAATTGTACAATGTAATTTGCAGTTTCACTGGCGCGAGATGGGGAGCTGAGCCATCGATGGGGTTACTATTTTACAAATACTCGATTAGATCGATTTTGGATTTCGGTTCGATTTTTTATGGACAGGCGTCAGACACGGACTTAAAAAAAATTCACACCTTCAGTAATAAATGTATTAGGCGGATTTTGGGTGCGCTACCAAGCACACCTAAGGTAGTTAGTTCTTTCCGCGGAATCGGGGGAGCCTCCTCCAGCAATTAGACTTCAAAAATTAGCCATAAATAAACTACTAAATTTGCAAAGTTCTGAGATTGCTCTTTTACCAAAAATTTCAGCATTGATGGAATTGGTTCAGACCGAGAGTTATTGGATGAAAAAGAAACCCCCTCCAATAGTATGTGCCTTTCTGTCTACTATTCCTGATATATTTTCAATGTATAAACATCAGCTCCACCCGGTGTACCAACTTGAGCATCAAAAAGCTATTAGTACACCAAGTACAATTTATTTACAAGATTATGCAAAATTTCCCTCGGATATTGCAAATTCTCTATTTTTAGAGGAAGGGAATCAACGACTGCCCAATAACCACTCGATTTTTACGGATGGTTCGATAATAAGTGGTAAAGTCGGATGTGCCATTTACGACCCTACTAAGCAATTCTGTAGTAAAATAACGCTTCCCTCAATGATGTCTATATTTTCCGCAGAAATGTATGCTCTTATAAAAGCCTTGGATTATATTGCCACAATAGAAGGAACTGAGTTTTGTATATTGATAGCAAAAGCTCAGTTTCTCAAATCCATAATTTTTTCTAATCCTACCTAACACAAATGTGACCTGGTGACCGAAATAGTTGGCAAAACATATGACCTAAATTTAAAAAACAAGAAAGTAATATTCGGTTGGTGTCGCGGTCACTGTGGAGTGGTGCATAACGAATTTGTCGATAAGTTGGCAAAGGAAGCTACATCGGGTCCAGAAGTGCAGTACGTCAAAATTCCTAAAACTGATATAAAGAGGGTACTAACTAAAAAACTATCACAGGAATGGAAAAAGTGGTACGATAGGGATAAGGCAGGTTCTTTTTTTAAGGCTATCATTCCTGAACCCCGTCCCATTTCATGAATTTTTGCAATGAGAGGAAGAAGGCGTTTTTTTCTTCGATTGTCAGAATTAGGTCGAATCACTGCATATGTGAGGCTTATCTGAACAGGATTCGTATAGGACCCTCTCCAAATTGTGAAACATGCGATGAACCCGAGACAATGCAACATATTTTGTTTGATTGTCCGGAGTCTGAAGAAGCAAGAAATGCCATGTTCGAACAAATCTTTAGTTACAAAGAGAAGCCCTTCAACTTTAATAGCCTTATAGGCTCTGAAAATGAGATGGTATTTAAAACATTGTTTGAATTTTTAAATAAAACTAAACTGAAGGCTTAATTACCAATTAATTAATTGATTAATTAACGCAAAATCTGTTTAATTATTAAGTTATTAATAATTGACATTGTTATTTATGAAGTAGTATTTATATATTTATATTAGTAATTTATTATTTATTTATTTACCAATTGATTATTTATTACCGCTGTAAATACTGATTTATTTATTGACTATTTATATTGTTGTTTGTTAATATTGGTACATTTTTATAGATTATTTATTAATTGTATATTTATTAATTGATTGATTAAGAGGTGAAGAGCCTGGGTAGTTCCGGGGGTGCTGGGTTGGCTGACTCGGGTTTTCTCCGGAGGGTGCTCCACATGCAAAGGGCAAATGGTCCCCGGGAAGCGGGGAGGATGTGGACTTTTCCAGAGGCCCCTGTGGCCACGTACGGTTTTTATCCACATCCTCCTAATGCTGCCGAAATTAAGTGTATACCCGAATGAGAAGCGGGCGTATGTGGGGGTGCCCTTTGGGGGTGGCCCGGGTCGGGTGGCATAAAAAAAAAGGTTAGTTGAAATTAAAAAGTTAATTTGATATGAAAAAGTGTTATTTTCGAGCGAAAAAAGGCTAATTTGTCGGAAAAAGTTATATATTTAAACAAATGCTCAAATATAAAGGAGTTCTACTTTAAATACTTATGTATGTCATGGGTAATTACTCTTTTTACTGTTTTTGTATGTTTTTTGTGCTCATTTTGTTTTGCTTCACTCTCTAAGATGTTATAAAATTTACTTAAAATTAAATTTAAATTTATACAATAATTTTTGTTTACAGATAGTTCACACTTTTGAGCGGATTGCGTGAAGTTTAAATAAAATACTGGGTAGGACTGTAGACGAAAGTGTACTTGACCTCTTTAACTTAATTTATGAAGCAGGTGACGTTCCACCATCCTTTGGAAAGTCCCTAATCTTTCCACTTTTTAAAAATGGTGATTCAAACCTAGCCACCAACTACTGGGGCATCTCTTGCATTGACGCAATTGGTAAAATATTTTCTGGAATTTTATTAAAACGAGTGGAATCCTTGTGTCAACTAATAATTTACTAAGTGTGTCACAAGCAGACTTTCGTCGTGATTTTTCCAAGACAGATAATATGTTTGTTTTAGAAAATTTGACCAGATTGAGTTTTGATCGAGGCAAAAAATGTACTGTTTCTTTGTGGACTTTTAGGCATCATTTGATAGTATTGACACAAGAGCTCTCATACTAAAGCTTTATTACCTAGGTTTCTCTTATCGTTAAGGTTAATCATAGCTCTGCGGCAGTAAGAAGTAGAGAAAAGCGTTCTGATTTTTTTAAAACTGGCCGTGGGGTGAGGTGTAGGTGTATACTCAGCCCAATTTTGTTCGCATTCTTTTTGGATGATCTCCCATCAGTTCTAGAGTATAGTATACATATTGGTGGCATGGTAATAAAGATCCTAACGAAATTGTTATTTTATGTGACAGTATTGCTGCCCTTCAAAAGAACATAACTTGTTAAAGGAGTACTGCAAACAATGGAGTTTAACAGTAAATCTAACACAAGCCAAGGTTATTGTTTTTCGAAGGGGTGAAAGGTTATCTACTTCCGAACGTTGGTATTTCAATGGGGTGAGTATAGAGACAGTTAACCAATATAAATATTTAGGAGATCTGTTAACTCCAAAACTTTCGTTCTCTTAGCATCTACAGTTAAAGGTGCTACCGCGAAAATTTATAGTTTTTAAGTATATATTCATGCATATGTTTTTAATGTAAGGTTTTTTTTAAATTTAAAATGGTAATGCATAGTTCATAATTGTATATATAATAATATTTTCATTGTTTCCCTTATATCAACAAGCCTTGAATTTTTTTCTCTTATTTTTTCTTTCTTAGATTTCAGATTTCAAGTTAAAACCGCTACTAAATTTCATACGAATAATAACTATTTTGTATATATGATAAACACTGGCCGTTGGGAATTGTAGGCCAGTTATTATAAACGGATTAAGTGTGAAAGGTGAACGAGGAGATTATATTCGGAAAAACATTCAGCATTGGTTTATCGGGTGCATTTACGGATCTGCGCGGCTCAGCCTTTAAACGATCTTTTTTGTCGAAGTATTTTCATCATGAATTTTGTGATTGTCCGCCTTAGCCGTAAGTAAGATTTTTTGTATATATTTATCACAGCAAAAAGCCCTTTTAATTGTACCTGTAACCTATAATCATCATATCTGCAATGCTGTCAGATGTCATAGATTAATTACTACTATCATAGTATTAATCCCAAAGTTTCTTTACAAATAAAATTAAAGGGAAACATAATAGCTATAGAAGTGCAAATCAATTTTACAAGTTACCGTGTTTTCACTTAAAACTTGCCCATCGATGTGATGATATTTATATATATCTTCTAAAAACAGGTTACTGCAACAGAAGAAAATATAGAAAATTTACTCAGTCAAGCTGTCGAGAAATTCATCCCCGTCATCATGACATTGAAACTACAGAGGGTGAGGGAGAGGGAGAGAGAGAGATAGAGGGATAGATAGATAGATAGTGAGTGAGTGAGTGAGTGAGTGAGAGAATGAATGAATCATTGAAACAGAGAGAAAAGTGAGAGCATTGGAAGAAAAGAGAGAAATACTGAGAGGGGGAAAGAGAAAAAAGAGTGTGAGCATGAGGCAGAGAAAGAAAGGGATTTTTTCGAAAAAAGACATCCTATCTTCTCCCTTAAGATCACGCAAAGAAAGCTAGGCTTAACAATTTTTTTTTTAACGCTGGCTTAGATAAGTTTTATTTTTTTTATATATAAAAAAATCAGTCCTAGTTCTTTCTTTGTACGTGTTAATAGAAATAAGCGAATATTTAACGATGGCAGCTGAAATCCCGGATCTACTTAAAGCTGTATTAATGTAAAGTATAATGTGTGGTGTTTATAATGTGTGTGACCGTTAATTAATGATTATTTGTAGATCGTGAGATGCGGTCTGGTGTGACAGGTTTAGAAATACATTTTCTTTATCGTGCTAACGTTTCGATTGTAACAAACATTTCTTCATAGTCTAATTCTTCAACCATTTGCCTTTCCTTTCCCTAATTAACCACACCTATGTAATCCTGATAGGATAATCTGGCCGAACCATTACCCATTTTTTCCCATTGACGGCTCCTTTCACCTCTAAGAATCTGACTCCTCATATAAAAATAAATTTCCATCCCTACTTCCTTTCCCACCCCTTCAAAATCCAACGTATATAGACATAAATCATTAATATCTCACTAGCATTCTCAACACGACACACAATAATGATACATCCAAACAGAAATAAACCCTTTGAGTGAGTACAAATACTTTGATTGAGTCTAAAATTTCTATCATTGTATAAATTCATTTTTTCACATCATACATGTATTTGTTTAGTTAAATAATGTTTATAAATCCCAGGTTCTAAAGATGATCTCAATAAAGATCAAAACTTTGGCACGATAAAGAAAATGTTTTTCTATACGTCACACCAGACCCAATCTCACGATCTCCAAATAAACGTAAATTATAATCTATTAGGTTTCGTGGTACAATTGACCAAAAAAATTCTTTTCAATTAATTAAGGCCTTGGTTGAGATAAAAAAAGTCCGAGTGGATCGAAGTCACGATAGCTCAAGTGGTAGAGCAGCGGCGTATTTAGCCGAAGGTCGTGGGTTCGAATCCCTCTCGTTACACTGACTTTTTTGTCTCAACCAAAGCCTTAATTAATTGTAAAATTTTATATTTTAGTTGATTAAACAATGACGTTGATTAGACATGACTTTTTGTTTAAACAAATTTTAACAACATTTTTTCCTTGATCAACTGTTAATTTCTAATCAAAACATTTCATTATTCCAAACTGGAATTCACGTATGCTCAGTTTACGACTAAGTACGATAATATTATCATTTATAAGATTATAATGCGTTTCAAACGCAGTCTGTTATACGTTATGTTTATTATCTAATATTAAATTAATTTCCGATGTAACCCCGTGCCTATTTGTCCGAACATTTAATTTTCAACGCTTTCTTATTAAAAGAATATTGCGTATACTTTTATTTATGTTATCTGTCTTAAGAAAAATTCTCCAAGATTTTGGCCAGGGTGATCGAAGAGGCCAACGAATAATAGCACTTAGCCAATCCACCTAAACTGAACGTGTAAATTTATGTTCCCGCGAACCCTTCACAGCTACTTTGCTAACTCATTAGATCAATAAAAATTTGCCCAAAATTTTTGGTATAAAATGTATATACTTATAGTATTTTAATTATAGCAAATTAAATAATTAATGTTAATTAAAAATAATGAGAATTTTTGAATAAACTCTACAGGTGAATGTTTATTCGATGTTGAAGAGACGGAGTTTGGAAGTCTTGGGGATCCCCGTTTACATCTGCCTTGATGATGTAGTAAGTACGCTTTCCCTTTGGGCAACATGAATTTGGATCAGACATTAATATTCAGCAATTAGCCCTTGTAGAATCTTTACTCTTGGCCTGACCCTCCTTCAAACCGTGCAACAATTAACCAACCAACTGGTTTGCCTGTGGTTGATACCACAAGCTTTACCAATCTGTCGTTTCTCGGGAAAACCTTTAAATTCATTAAAAATTAAATTTAAGATAAAAAATCTTACGTGAAATTGTGAAATTTCTCTGTATCGGCGATATGATGAACCTGAAAATTTGTCGTTAAAATAACAAGTTTTAGATAGTTATAGGGTATTTCAATAAATAGCGAGGATAGATAGACCAAAATCACAGTTTCCTCCCCCGTAGACCGCAAGAGGAATTTCATGATTTAAAGGATTTTGGTGTTTAGTAATTTTAAATTATGAGCTTTTGATACACAACTGATAAAGTTAGGAGAAGCACGTACATACATTCCACTATTGCCTTTTCCCTGTGAGAATTTTTATTATTGGGTTGTCCGGAAAATAATGCAGGATTTTAAGTTTTCATTAAAAAAAATCTATATAAAATATTCTGTTTACGTTTACAGGATTACTCATTTGTATGAATGTCAACACTTATTAATCCTCTTCCAAATGATATTGTTTGTTTACCTCTGTAGCATTCCGCTACTTGGAAATAATTCAGTCATCCTTATAATGTCAAAGCGAGAATTTCGTACGATTTTCTTTTACGAGTTTAAACTCGGCCGAAGCGGAGCCCAAACGGCTAGAAACATTAACCAAGTCTGGGGCGAGGGTTGTGTTAATGAGTGCACTGTGCAAAGGTGGTTTAAAAAATTTCGGGAGGGAGATTTCAGCCTTGAAGATGAAGAAGGTCGTGGAAGGCCTTCCTCTCTTAATGATGATGTTCTGCGATCAGTGGTGGAAGAAAACCCCAAAACAACTGTTCGAGAACTTGCAGAGCAACTCAAAGTCAGTAAAACGACCGTCGCTGACCACCTCAAGGCGATTGGAAAAGTGAAAAAACTCGAAAATTGGGTTCCACACTCATTAAACGATCGCCAAAAAAATCAGCGCTTTGATGTTTGTGCATCACTTCTTTGTCGAAACAAAAATGACCCATTTCTGGCCAGAATTGTTACATGTGACGAAAAGTGGATTCTGGACAGTGGCTCGACAAAGGAGAAGCTCCAATACATTTTCCAAAGCCCCCAACTCATCAAAAAAAGGTAATGGTTACGGTATGGTGGGCTTCATTTGGTTTAATACACTACAGCTTCTTAAATCCTGGCGAAACCATCAATGCTGAATCATACTGTAACCAAATTAATACCATGCATCAGAAATTGGCAGTAATGAAGCCCTCTTTGGTCAATCGGAAAGGGCCCATTTTGTTGCATGACAACGCTCGACCACATGTGTCACGTGTAACGTCACAAAAATTATTGGAGCTTGGCTATGAAACTTTGCCTCACCCACCCTACTCTCCGGACCTCTCGCCTACTGACTACCATTTTTTTAGACACCTGGACCACTACTTACAACACATAATATTCAAAAATCAAACGAAACTGGAAAATGCATTTATTGACTTTATCAATTCTAAAAATTCTGAATTCTACTCAGACGGAATTAATAAGTTACCAACACGTTGGGAGAAATGTATTGAGAGTATGGGAAATTATTTTGATTAAAGAACATTGCTTTAAAGTAACTAGTTTCTTTTTTTTTGTTTAATACCAAAATCCTGCATTATTTTCCGGACAACCCAATATTATAGGAAAAGTCATGTTTAACTGGAAACTGGAGTCTCGAACTGGAACTATAAGTCGGTCGGATTAATCGGCGTGTTTGTAAATGCTTCTAGCCAGCTAAAGGCGTAATATTTCCTTGTGATATTGCACATATTGCTTTGACCCACAGTTTTGTTCCATTACGGACCTGCCGACCTTCATCACCATAAAACGATATGAACATTAAATACATAGTGAATTCTACTGTACAAACTATTTTTCGTGTTATTTTTTAAATATCTAACAGTTTTACTAATTTACCGATTCATAAACTCTAAAATCTGCACATGCACTTACGTAAATACACGCTGTACGGAGTTGTCTTACCACTTCTTGAAGTCCGCCGAAATTCCAGTTTTTATAATTTACAATAAATCACCTGAAGGCCTAACTCTGACCCAACGTAATCAGTGTCTATTCTCACTCTCACTCACTCTTAAATACATTATTTTCTATTTATTGTATTTGGTTCGCAATTACTCTTGTGAGGTTGATCTTTCCATAGACAATATGCCTCAGTGGATCACCGGGAGGAGTCTGTGAGGAAGGCTTTGCAATCTGAGCACTTTCTTCGGTACAGAACCCTTTTGGAGTTAGATGTGGAATTTTTGGTTGCAGTGTCTCTGGATTGAATCTTTGCCAATTTAGGTTGCTGTTCAAGATGAGATGGGAATTACTATTTCTCAGTTATTTGCCCTGGTTGAGGAAGGATCTTCTCAGGGAAAGATGTTCTTTGTGCAATTTGAATGCCAGGGAGGATCTTCATCATTTCCTTTGTGAATGTCCTGAGTTAGCCAAATTTTACTCAGCTCTTCATGGGAAGTAGTTCTCTCGCTGGTCCAGCAATTGTCGGAAATTTGACAAGCCCTCGGCTCTGTAAACCTTTAATTGCTTTTGCAAGAAAGGCCTGGG